TGCTCCGAGTAGCCGTGATACGGACAGCTCGCACAGAGTTTCTTGAATCGTTCCCAGAATTCGTAGAACGATTCATCATCTTTTTGTTCCACATTGCTGATTTGTTTCTTTAAAGATGAGGAGATGGAGGCGGGATAATACCTTTCGAGGAAGCTTTTCTTCATGGCCGCCCAAGTGTCTATGCTTCCCGAGGGAAGATAGAATAGCCAATCTTTGGCGGTGTCTTTGAGGGAGAATGGGAAAGCCCTCAACTTAATTTGCTCCTCGGTAACACCGTTTGGGCACATGCTTGTGCAAACGATGTGGAATTCCGAAAGATGTTTATTTGGATCCTCTCCTCTTAGCCCGTGGAAAGATGGAAGTAGATGTATGAGTCCGGATTTCAACTCAAATGTAGCACCCGCATCAAGAGTTGGGAAGGTGATACATAAGGGTTGTTGATTTAGATTGGGGGCTGTGAGCTCCCTCAGCGTTCTTGTTTCAAGAGCCATTGATATTGACTCCTCGGACTCGCTAGATTGAGAACTAGCACTTGAGAATACCCCCGAGTCGGTATTTGAGAATTTATTCTTTAACCGCTCGAGAGCTTTTTCTATTTCGGGGTTTGTTTGGTAGGTGAGTTGGTTTATGGATCGGGTTTTTACCATATACTCAAACAAAGCTCAGCAAAAATAGAAAACTTTATATATTATTTTTTTTTTGGATTTTTCTTTGAAATAAAATAAAAAGAAAAATTAATTGCCTTTCCCCGGCAACGGCGCCAAATTTGACGAGCACTTTGTCACGGTGCGTCAAAATAAATTCAATACTAAACACTTATACGTAGTATAGTGTAGTAGAGTTCGTATCCACAAGGAAAGGTATAATTCTCTTTCTATGAAACTAGTAATAAAAAGGGGGGTTTTGGTTTTGAGTGATTTAATTCAATTAAGAAACTAAGATGAACAACCTATATGTGTTTAATTTCAAGAATAAAAGGGACTTGGCTTTGCTACTTTCCACTTGTTGATATATTTTAGTCGGTCCTTGTTATATCTATAACTTATCCCCTCTCGAATACTCAATCGAGGAGTATCTCCAATTCATCGAGGGTAGTTATTAACAACGACCGTTCATTAATAACCCTTACTATTAATCAAATATAGAACAACGCCTTATACCGATATAATAGTAGCATTCAATCTTTTTAACTCCTTGATGAAATCAATTGAGATTGATAACCTTAACACAACGGTTTCGGTTTAACCAACAAAATTGATCCCTCTTAAGTCTATTAACCACAACCGTGCATTAATAAACCGAAGTTACTTACTTGTGAAACCACCAACGATTAACCATCGGTTCGTTGATCGTTTCTAGTAGTAATTAATGTCGGAACGTTAACTAATCGTCACTTAGCAACCCTCCAACATTAATATAGAATGAGATTAAGGGAAGAATTAATAATCAAGAGAAGAAGTTAAGAAAATAACTCACAACTTTAATAATCAACAAGCTTCAAGAGCAAAACCAAGAATGGAAGTTTAGCTCCTCATTTGGAGACTAAACATAGCTAGAGAGTATGGAAGAAGGGATGATTTTTTGTGAAGAAAAAGGGTGCAATTTATAGGTGTTTTTCAACACCTTTGGCCGGGTACCCGACCGGGTATAGGTACATACCCGACCGGGTACCGGTCAAAATCAGATAATCTCCCACGTTTCATTGTTCCAGCACGTTAATTTGTCCGGGTCAAGTCAGACCCGACCGGGTCAAGTGAGGGACCCGACCGGATTTGGTCTAAATCAGATTTTTTCCAAATCTTTGTGATCTTCAGCATGTTCCGGTGTTCCGGGTCATGTCTGACCCGACCGGGTCGGGTATGGGACCCGACCGGGTCGGGTATGGGACCCGACCGGGTCTTACTTTTCCTTCTTAGATCTGTTCCTCAACTGACCCGACCGGGTTCAAGGTCTGACCCGGTCGGGTTTTTGTGCTCCTGGGTCTTTTTGTCTTCAGTTTTTCTCCCTTTTTCCTTGCTACAAACTCTATCACTATTCTAAAACTCCGAAAAAGGAGAGAACAATTAAAAACAAAATAAAACAAGTACTTACAAACTAACTAAAAGTGATGGAAAATCCACACTCAATCAACATAAAAATATACGTTTATGCACTATAAACTAGTGCATATCACAAGCGGAAATAAAATGCAATGGGTAGGCTAAAAGGTTTGGGGTCTATGAAAAATGGCCTAGATCACTTCCCAATCAGTTTGCACAATAACTTAGCTTCCAAAAGAGCAACAAGACAAGTTCTATCATGCCAGCTAAAAGGCAAAGGACTCACACTCTTTCCAAGAACGTTAGAGATGCATCTCAAAAGATCATAAAGAATTGAGAAGTACATCAAAATTAATACTAGGAGAAGCTAAGAAATTGACTCCAAGTAAAAACAATGTGAAGGACTCAATCAAATTCAAGAGAAAACTTATCATGGAGACCACCAATCATACCACATACCAATGAAAGGGAAAATTATCACAACTTGAAGCCAAAAAAGTAATCCTGAAATTAAATTTCCCTCAAATCCAAGCAAGAAAACAGTTTTTTTCCTGATTTTTTTTTGTGTTTTTGAAACTAAGATAGAACTAAAAAATGAGAGCTACTCCCCTCCGCACCTATCTCAAGCATTGTCCTCAATGAAAGATTAATAAACAAGAGAAAGGTGAAGAAGAACTCCCTGAATGCACTCCTAATCAGAACTGAAACATCTTGAAACTTAACCTGCAAAACTAAGAAACAAAGAAAAGAAGAAAAAAATGGAGGGGGGAAAATAGAATTAAGAAAATGTTTTTTTTCTACGTGGTGGGGGAGGCGGGAGTGTGGGTAGAGACAGCCGTGTTGGGGATGATATGGTCGATGACTTGATAAGCCCGAGCTGTAATTTTGAAAAGTTCCGCCCAAGAGGAATATTCCACAGTGTCAAGGTTGAGAGTTATGGGAATAAATTTTTTGATATTAGAAATGGCTAGGGTAGGGTGAAACTTTGGAGAAGAAGAAGACATGGCTAGAGAAAAGAGAGAAGCTACTGATACCAAATTGGAACAATATTCCTTGCTTTATTTTGTGATCTAAATGGAGTATAAATACAAGCAATTCCACCGTTGCCATGCAAGGCTAACAGATGGAGAGCCAAAATCAAAGGCATAATCTAAGCTAACCAAATATGGAGTAAGTGTATCTAGACTCAATAGAAGCTACGTACAAACTACACAAACTATGGTAAGAATGGGAAACAAGGAAAGTAATCATGCAGCCCATGTGCAATCACGTTAATTGTAAGAGTCTCCAGAACACCATTATAAAGAGACTCAAATGAGAACCGATCAATCCATCACAAGAGTAGTTTGTATCCACGGGCAGATCTATGCAGGGGCAGGAGTGGACTTCAGCCCAGCCCAACCCAATTTTTTCTTAATAATATAGAAAGAGATTTACCGTTCAGCCCAGGTCCAAGGCATCAGCCATAACCTCATGATAAAAGGCGGCTCACACTTATAAAGCCCGTAGCCAAGACAACAAATGGTCCCGGTGCGTAACAATCAAGCTATGGGCTTATGACAACTTAACTAAACGTTGACTTCTTCAATTAAAGCAAGGAATGGTTTATTTATATGGCACTGAGGAGGGGGAAACATCCTCTTCAACCGATGTTGGAAAAATTGAGAAGAGCAAGACTTTACATACTGAGTATATAGCTAATGTTGCAAATTATGCAATCCCATCTCACCCACTCACCCACACCATCAATTATGTACTCTTTTGAAATTTGAAAAATTCTTAGTGTACACAAAACCTAGTTGTATGTGTACATATGCAATTCGTTTAAAAAAGTGCAGGATTTAATACCAAAACCCTCCTAATTGCATGTGTAGTGTGTACATAGACAATGTACATATTTTGTGTACATCTTGTGTACACCAAGAATGACCCTTGAAATTTATAATACTTTATATTACAAGTTTACAACATGATTATGCTAAACATTAATTTTATGATTAATATTATATTATTATATTAATGTTATTATTATGTTAATATTAATACTACTATTATTATTACTTCTATTATTATCATGAGTCTTTTCCAAAAATATTACTAACATTAAATAAGGATACTTTTTTTGACCCAAGTCACCATGAGTAACTTTTATAAGCATTCTAATTGTAAAATTTAAACATAATTATAATCATTAAAATAACTACGTCACTTTTTATTCACTATCCTTATTTGGTCATATACTATTTCTATTATTATTAAAATTATTATTACCATTATTATTATTATTATTGTTATTATTATTATTATTATTATTATTATTATTATTATAAATTGCACTAAAAATGTTTAAATTTTTAGTGTTGATTCTCTTTTATTAGTGTTTAAATAGATTTATAAATTGCACTAAAAATGTTTAAATTTTAAGATAAATAAAATTTATTCCTATGATTTATGAGTTATCGACGGGTTCGAATCCGCATTGAACCGAATATCACTATGCTCCAACTCGGCTTGAATAACTATTCAAACTCAAAATCTAGCCCGTGTTCAAGTTAGAAAAAGCTCGTTAAGCTCAGGTCGTTAAATTAAATTTGAAAGCACGCTCGAACTCGAGAAGTTCGAAAAAAGCTCGGTTCGATAACAGCCCTAAGCTAAACCTTTTGTCTGCAGTAACATTTTTTCTCTTAGCTCACCCCACTCTTCATTCCTGGATCCGCCCCTGTTTGTATCCTTAGAGAATCAAAACGTTATGGCTTAAACGTCGTCTACGACACCATCAACGTAACATTCAATTTCGCTTTAACCGGTTAATGTTCTTATTGTTTGATTCTATGAATTTTATCATGTTTGTGATATTAGATTATTATTTGGGACCGAATTTCTCAACATTCATTTCATGTTATTAGTATATCTTATACCTACGTACATATTAATAAGATACATTGACTGTATGTATGTATGTATAAGTATATTACGCTACTTGTTCTTACTGTTAACATACATCATATATAGTTAATACGGAGTAGTAGTATATATACACATTCGCTAATTAAATAATCACAAAAAATACTACGTACGTACGTATAACTCACGTACTTTTACATATACTAATATCGATCAGGATAAGAGCGGTTTCTCCACGTCGTACTCATTAGGATAATTATCAAAAACCTCATTTCCTTTAGCCCAAAGAACAAAGTAGAGGCCGGTGAACATGAGGAACATGCCTGCAAGGCTGTAGCAAAAAGAATCCAGCAGTCAAAATTGTATATTGTACGTACGTTTAAGATCACTAGCTAAAATCAATTTATTTTTCCAGTAGCAATGTATATTGAGATGTAATTAATTAATGCTATATCGTGCGTAGTAGGGATACGTGCGTGCATGCATGCATGCGTAGTGGTAGCTTAGTTTGGACATTGACCGGAAAAGTAATCCATTCCTTCATATTGGGCTTTTGTCAAAACTAAGACTAAAGTAAAACTCATGGACAAAAATATATAGGACTATATTTAAAATTTGAATAAGGGTCATATTGGTCCTCAAAGTTGCATAAAAAGAGTCAAATAAGTTCTTATATAGGAGGTTCTGTCCGGCCGTCGCCATTCGGGGCGGTTTCCGGTGGAATTTTTTGATGAATTTTTTTGAGCATCTTATTCATTAATTCTAGTTTACTCATACCAAATTTCAGCTAAAACTTCAATCGGGAACCTCTCCAAATGGCGGCGGCCAGATATTAAGGACTTATTTGACCCTTTTTATGCAATTTCGAAGACCAATCTCACCCTTACCTCTTTAAAAGTTTCCAAAAAAGAGACTAATAGGACATTTATGCCCTCATTCCAACCTACAGTTACACTACCTGCTCCAATCAATTACCGTTACCCGTTTCAACCAGTCACAGTATAACCCAACCTGACCAATTACAATTACCTCCGACCCGACCAATTACAGTTACCCGTTCCGACCAGATACAGTTACCCGATCGACCCGACCAGTTACAGTTACCCGACCCGATCGATCACAATTACCAAATTCAATTAATTACGGTTATCCGTAAGATAAATAGAGTGAATTCCCTAAATGGGACTAAAATAGAAGATAATTGCTCAAATAGGACTTCATTTGAAACTATGTTTCATAGGACTTAAAATCACCTACTTGTACAAAAATGCCCTTAATGAAACTTTTTTTTAATTTATAATTTAAAAGTAAACTAGAAATTGAAGAAACCCTAAAAATTTCAACATAGTAGTAAGACTGGCGCTGCTGTCACACCATTCCCCCTGCCCCCAGCCGCCATCACCGGCGGCGCCCTTGCCGGAATAGTCTGTCGATGCACCCCACCCGCACCGCCTTCTCGCCAGTGTCACCATCCATCGCCGCCGGGTGGTGTTGCCCAACCAGAGCTGCAACCTGTCGCCATCACCATCCTCTGCCTAATTACTAAAGTACACTGTATTTACGCTAATGATTTGTGACAGTCATATCTTGCTGAGTGTTTATCCATTTGGAGTGTATTATATCTCGTTGGAAAGATAGATCGGAACTCTAAAGCTATTATTCCATATTCATTTACAATGCATATGCCATTACGTTGGCAGGTTTAGCTATGAAGAGTATTTGGAATCTGCCAAGAACAAGGTTTTTCATATCTGCCATAAAGTTGGCAGATTTGTGTTGGAAGTTTAACGCAAAAATGTCATAAATTTGGCAAAAAATTGAAGTCAATAACTAAATATTCAAAAACTCAAAAAAATGAAATAAGCACTTTAACTCAATCAAAAAATAAAAATAAGAAGTTATTGATTTTTTTAGAGAAATCGATTTACACAAAAGCGTTTCTGCCATAATGCGATGGTCTGTGTACATATTTCTGCCATAAACTTGGCAGAATCTGAAACCATCATCCAAACTTTTGGAAAATCGGAACTTAAAAAAAAACTAAGAAATCAGAAATAAAAAATTAGAAAATACAAAACAGAATTCCAAAAAATTGAGAAAATCAATGCCAAATTCCAGAGAAACGTGAGAATATGAGGAAGATCATAAAAATCAATGTCTAATCTCATTAAAATAGAGGAATAGGAGAAGGAGGAAGAAGAAGAAGAAGAAGAAGAAGAAGAGGAAGAGAAGAAGAAGAAGAGAAGAAGAAGTAGATGAAACCTGCGATGGGGCGTGGTGAAGTTGGTAGTGACGGCGGCGGCGTGAGGCGGCAGGGTTAGTGGCGGTGATGGCTGCGATGCACAGGGAGAAGCTGCAGAGGGAGATGACCTTAAGCTTTTTGACGTAGGGAGAAAACCATCGATCTTGCCAGGAGAAAGAGAAATGAGATGGAAAAGTAAGGAATTTAGGACTTAATTAGAAGAAGGATATTAATGGTATGGAATTTTATTATGTTTCTACATAGGACTAATAAAGTCAGATTTAAGAAATAAAAAGCTTAAGATCCTATTAGTGAGTTTTCATTATGTTTTAGTCCTACTTAGGACAAATACTATATCGGTAATTAGTAAGATAATGTATGTACCTTCCTAGAGTAATGGAGTCTCCTAAAGTGATCACAGAGAGTATAATGGAAATGACAGTTCCAACCGGACCGAAAACAGCCACCATTACTGGCCCTCTTTTCTTCATTGCCCATGCATTGAAGCTTGTTGAGGCCCCACTTATGCACCCTGCCTTTATATCAGTACGTACAAACATATAGATACACCAAATTTTCACTCAGAATTAACTAGCTAATTAAAGCTGTGATCCATCTTTAAAAATATTATAAATTCAAACGAATAATAACACTAATAATGTAAAGATGGAATACAAACTACTCCTTCCGTCCCATTTAAAGGTTCTCGTCCATTATTCTTCGGTCAACGTGCATTGTTCTTAATCTTTTACTTTATATATATTTAGATTATTTTTTGCAGTTTTGTAGCGATTTTAATGTAGTTTCTCGATATGTAAATTTTATTTACTAAAAATAATTCTATTAATGACATGGATCAGTTAACTTTATGGTGAGTCAAACATCGTAAACTGTGTGGCAAGTTGGGAACCTTAAAGTGGGACGGATGGAGTATTATATACTAGCTACACCTCCACTTACGCGTAGTATATAATATAGTACGTGTGGTCTAGATTCATCACGTACTTAACAACACATGCATGCATGCATGCATACCAGTAAAGAGTAACCCAGAAGATTTTGGATGTTTGTGTTAGACAAACCGATCTCTAATTTGTGGTCTTGAATCAACTGGACTATTATTGTGAAAACCATGCCCATCAGTGATGTTATTGCAGATATAGTGATCGGTGAAGGAAAATCTCCCAATGTTGCAGCCTGTAACACATTATATATATATATATATACGGAGTACATCTAGGAAAAGAAAGTCATTTTCAAATTGTTAATGCATGTGACATTTTTTTTAAATGACATTATGTACCGGCAGTACCGCCATGTCAAAATAGTTATGCCATTTTCGTATACAAACATGGCATTTGCAGTTGTTAAAACACGACATTTTCGAATAAAGATGACATTCAAATGTAAAAAAAGGCAAGCATGTCAAAACTGTCATAAAATTGGCATTACTTTTAAACAATAGCATTTTCAAATGATAAAAAATATAATCTAAAATTCAAACGAAGAAGAAAACAGAGGAGCACGAGGAGAAGAAAACAGGGGGGAAGGGGATGAGAAAGAAAAAGAATTGAAGGAGAAAGAGAAGGCAAAGAGGGAGGAGGAAAAGAAGATTAAATGGATTCATTGAGAAATTGACAAATGGATTTGACTCTATTGAATCGGTGGAGTCACCGAAGAAATCTTAGAAGAATGCATGGAGTGCGAGTGTGTCTTCCACAAGGGGGGAGAAATAGTAGATGACTTCAACAAGTTAATAGATGGACTTTGCACAGATCTGAATCCATTTAGGCCAGGGCTTTGTTGGAATATTAGAGGTAGAGGCTAAGTATTTTAGGACGTTATGAAGTAAATTGTGTAAGTAGAAAAAGCTTTTAGCTAACTAGAAGAGAGGACAGAAGAAGAGAGAACTTGTATTTTATTGCTTGAAGATTTCTTAGCTTGATGCTTGATTACAAATGAGCACTACACCTATTTATACTACTCACATCCACAATAAATGGTGGAGAGTTCTCTAGAATTCTCCTTATCTAGAATACTCTATTATTAATTATTCTCTAGAATGACTCTAGAAGTGTCACACTCTAGAAACTTTCTAGAACATTTCTCTCTTGAACACTCCTAATTATTTTGGGCTTTGCCCATTACAACAAACATCAATTATTAACTTAGCCCAAAATCAAGTTTACATTCTAACATCCCCCCTTAAACTTGATTTCCAACTCCGAGCATTCTTCTCAATCGCTTGAAGTCTTCATGCTTGAGAGGTTTTGTAAGAATATCCGCAACTTGATCTTGTGACCTCACATACTTCACTTGGACCTCCTTATTCTCGACACATTCACGAATAAAATGGTAGCGAGTATCAATATGTTTAGTTCGGTCATGATAGACGGGATTTTTTGCAAGTGCAATGGCCGACTTGTTATCAACATAAATCTCAGTTGCATCTTCTTGCGGCATGTGAATTTCCTTCAATAATCTTCGAAGCCAAATGATGTGACATACACATGACGTAGCAACAACATATTCAGCTTCACAAGTCGAAAGTGTCACAATGGGTTGCTTCTTTGAAGACCATGTGAAAGGCATATCCCCCATGTAAAGTACAAACCCGGTTGTACTCTTACGGTCATCAATATCTCCGCCCCAATCGCTATCACTATAACCAAACAACTTATATTCTTTAGAAGATGAGTAAGTCAATCCAAAGCTAATCGTACCTTTTAGGTAGCGTAGAATCCTTTTGGCGGACTTCATATGGATAGATGTTGGTGCTTCCATATAGCGGCTAATAAGTCCCACTCCAAAAAGAATATCGGGCCTCGTACATGTTAAGTAGCGCAAGCTCCCAACCAAACTTTTGAACATAGTCGGATCCACTTTATCGCCTTCATCAAACTTAGAGAATTTTGTCCCATAATCGACTGGTGTGTCAATCGGCTTGCACCCATCCATCTTAAATTTCTTAAGATTTTTTCTTGCATAACCTTCTTGGGAAATAAATATTCCTCTATCACTTTGATTGACTTCAATTCCAAGGTAGTATGACATAAGTCCCATATCCGTCATCTCAAATTCACGACTCATTTCTTTCTTGAAAGCATCAAACATACTTGGATTGTTACCCGTGAATATCAAATCATCCACATATAAGCACACAATCAAAATATCCACATCTTCATTTGTTTTTACATAAAGAGCATATTCATAAGGGCACCTTAGAAAACCATTTTCTTGGAAGTACTTGTCTATTCTAGTATTCCAAGCTCTTGGGGCTTGTTTTAATCCGTAAAGTGCCTTCTTTAATTTTAAAACTTTATTTTCTTGCCCTTTAATTATATAACATGGGGGTTGTTCCAAATAGACTTCTTCTTCCAAATAACCATTTAAGAAAGCTGATTTTACGTCCATTTGGTACAATCTCCAATTATTTTGAGCCGCAATTGAAATAAGTAATCTTATAGTTTCTAAGCGGACAACGCGACGGGAGCAAATACCTCGTCATAGTCAATACCGGCCCTTTGCTTGTACCCTTTCGCCACCAACCTTGCCTTGTATCTTTCAATTTCTCCTTTGGCATTTTTCTTTGCTTTGTATACCCATTTAGTGCTGATAGCCTTGTGCCCCTTTGGTAGCGTAGCTAACTCCCAAGTATCATTCATCATGATTGACTTCATCTTCTCGTCCATAGCATTTTTCCACTTCTTGTCTTCTAGCGCCTCTTGAACACCTATTGGTTCACAATCATTAAGAAGACAAACAAGAGTTATTTCATCCAAATTTTGTGTTACCTCATATATCTCTTGTAAGCTTCTATAACGGGGAGTTCTTTCATTTGAGCCTTCATCGTTGGTTGGTGGACTTCCTTGGATGGATGGTGAATGAGGTGGAGTGTTTGGTTCTTGAGCCACTTGGTCATCATGGTCCTCTTGTTCTTCATTTTCTTCAAAGAGCGGGAAGAAGTTGTAATTCTCATCTTCTTGAACACTCCAATCCCAAGAGGCTTCTTCATCAAATTGGACATCTCGGCTCACAATGATTTTCTTCGTGAATGGATTATATAGCTTATATCCCTTCGAGTGTTTATCGTATCCAATAAACACAAACTTCTCACTTTTATCATCAAGCTTTGAGCGTTTTTGATCTGGCACATGAGCATATGCTATACTTCCAAAAACTCGAAGGTGAGAAACATTTGGTTTCTTCTTCCGCCGTGCTTCTTGAGGTGTCTTGTTGTCAAGACTTTTAGTTGGACAACGATTTAAAATATACACAGCACAATCAACCGCTTCGACCCAAAATTCTTTTGGCATATTCTTTCTTTTTAGCATGCTTTTAGCCATCTCAAGAATAGTTCTATTTTTTCTTTCAACCACGTCATTTTGTTGTGGTGAATATGGAACCGTTAAAGGACGGCGAATCCCATTATTTTCACAAAATTCATTAAAATCATTTGATGTAAATTCACCTCCTCTATCGGATCTCATGGCTTGTATTTCATGCCGAACTTCCTTTTCTGCAAGGGCCTTAAAATTTTTAAATGACCCAAAGACTTCCGACTTTTCTTTTAGAAAATAGACCCAAGTTTTTCTAGAATAATCATCAATGAAAAGAAGAAAATAATTATTCTTTCCATATGAACTTGGTTTAATGGGTCCACAAACATCGGCATGAATTAATTCCAAGGGCCTTTTAGCTCTAAAATTTGATTCTTTTGGAAAACCTTTTCTTGCATGTTTTCCTAAAAGACACCCCTCACACAATTGATTTGGATGATTTATCATTGGCATCCCATCAACCATTTTGGTTCTTGATAATAAATTTAAGCCACCAAAGTTCAAGTGCCCAAACCTCAAGTGCCATAACCAAGAATCATCTTTTAAACATGAATGTAAGCATTTTGCTTCATCATTTTGAATCTCCAATAAAAACATTCTATTTTTCGTCATTGGCACTTTGGTTATTAATCTTCCTTCACTTCTTAGAAAAAGATTATTATCTTTTAGATTGATGTCATAACCTTTTTCTAGAAGTTGTCCCAAACTCAAAATATTATTTTTGAGATTGGGCACATAATAAACATCGGAAATAAATTGGTGTCTACCATCCTTTAGACGGATTAAGATGTTACCTCTTCCTTCAACCGATACCTTTGACTCATCTCCAAATGTGACTTTTCCGTGGGCTTGCTTAATTTCCGCGAACATGGTTTTGTCGCCGGTCATGTGGTTGCTAGCCCCGGTATCTAACACCCACATACTCTTTCTTTCTTTTTCTTTAAGATCATGTGCCATCAATATGGTAAGATCAACTTCATCCTTGATGGGGTTAAACTTTTCATCCACTTCACAATAATTAGATTTGCAATTGGAAGCGTAATGACCAAATTTGTCACAATTATAGCATTTAACTTGTGATTTCTCATACCTTTGGTAACCGCCTCTTCCATGACCTCTTGTCGGCTTGAGGTATTGTTTTTTCTCTTCTTCATGTTCTTGGTGATTTTCACCATGTCCTCTTCCTCGGCCTCGACCTCGTCCACGGCCCCTAGCTCGCCCTCTTTGACCATCACCTCTTTTGAGTGAGAGTTGTGTATAAAGTGCTTGCTCGAACGAATATTGCACTTTCTTCTTTTTCATTTTTTTCTTCATGGGCCACTAGTGATCCGTTGAGTTGGTCTATAGTCATCGAGTCTATATCATGTGATTCTTCAATAGCCACTACCACATGCTCAAAATTTGGGGTTAAAGAGCGAAGAATTTTTTCTACCACTCTTGTATCTTCCAAATTTTCTCCATTCCTCCTTAGTTCATCTACTACCTTCTCAACTCTATCAAAATAATCAGAAATAGACTCGGATTCCTTCATTTGAAGAGACTCAAACTCACCTCTAAGTGTTTGGAGACGAACGCGTTTTACCTTATCGACTCCACGATATGTATTTTGAAGAATCTCCCAAACTTGCTTCGAAGTAGTTGCATTTGCAACCTTCACAAGTTGACTGTCATCCAAACATTGATGAATGAGAGTCATTGCCTTTTGATCATTCTCCCGAGCCTTCTCTAATGCGTCCTTTTGGAGTGCACTAAGAGTACTTTCATCCTCCGGTTCAACGTAGCCATTCAACACCAAATCCCACACCTTTTGTGAACCTAATATTGCCTTCATTCGGATGCACCAAGTACTATAGTTGTCTTTGGTTAGGCGAGGGAATTGAAAGGATTGCATCCCGTTAGCCATGACTTTGATACCAAATTGTTGGAATATTAGAGGTAGAGGCTAAGTATTTTAGGACGTTATGAAGTAAATTGTGTAAGTAGAAAAAGCTTTTAGCTAACTAGAAGAGAGGATGGAAGAAGAGAGAACTTGTATTTTATTGCTTGAAGATTTCTTAGCTTGATGCTTGATTACAAATGAGCACAACTACACCTATTTATACTACTCACATCCACAATAAATGGTGGAGAGTTCTCTAGAATTCTCCTTATCTAGAATACTCTATTATTAATTATTCTCTAGAATGACTCTAGAAGTGTCACACTCTAGAAACTTTCTAGAACATTTCTCTCTTGAACACTCCTAATTATTTTGGGCTTTGCCCATTACAACAAACATCAATTATTAACTTAGCCCAAAATCAAGTTTACATTCTAACAGGCTTTAAATTATTTGTATGAAGACTACAATCGCATATGAATTTTTTAAAGTCCTATTTAAAAACATTGTTCATATATTATTGACTCAAATATAATGGTCTTTATATACCATAGTATTAATATCTGTGAGGTGTGTGGTTTTGGATGGAGAGTTGTTGGAATAATTCTATAGTTGGGGTTCAATGTATTATTTTTGTTTCTGTCGTGTTTCCTTTTTTAATAAGGCCAAATGTTTCCTGTAATATTCTTCCTACCCGATTATGGCTTCTATATGAAACATTTTCTCCTTCTAAGTGAACTTTTTTTCTTTGTGAGGCTTAGAGAGCGAGTGAGGCAAGGTAGCATAGGGTTGTTGCTCCCTTAACCTAGGAGTGCATACGAGAGAGATGGACGGAATCGACTTTTGGGTTGCTGAGCTGAAATTCGACCAATGCAAATTAAATGAACTCTCGATCGATAGTGCTATCAGAGCTAGGGCTACTGCTGCTGTTGATTTGGTCATTTGGAACGCCACCCGCCATTTCTTGATCAACGCCGCCATAGAGAGGTTCATCGATCATCATCGTGGCTGGAGGTTGCTTGCCGCTACTCGTGTTGCCTCTTGCCTACTGCCACCGAAACTCTACCGCCCTACATTGAGGTCGCTGGCGATTCGTGAATGTTAGTTATGTGACTACCTTGGGCCCTACGGGGCGGGAGTTAAAGGTGGTATCATAACAACACATGACACAGTGTGCTGATCCGTTGGATATCAGGCGAGCACTTATAGGGGAAGACTCTCGGATATGATTGAGATTGAATTGGCTTAAGGACGCAACGAGGACGTTGCGATCCTAAGTGGGGGTGATTGTAACACATGAGATAATTTTAAAAGGCTTAATGGTACTTCTCATACTAACGAGATGCATCTCCTTTTAAGGGAGCTTATCAGCTAAGAACTCCAAGTCAAGTGTGTTTGCACGGGAGTAATTTTGGGACGCGTGACCCCCTCGGAAGTTTCTCAGGGCGCGCACGTGTGAGGACAAAGTGTGTGTTAAAGGCTTGTGTAGGTTTGTGAGGATAATACTAGAGGTCTGGAGTAACTACCTTAGACCCTGCGGGGCCGGGGTGTTACAGTCAATCTCTGAAATCAACAACTGACTACACATCACCAATTCAACAGCAGAGTTCGTTAGTCGCTCTACCATTCATTCTCCACCAGACGCAGAAGGTGGACATATGGAGCTAAACACAGAAGGAATGTAAGGAGCTGGACGTAGAAGGAACACGAGTGCTAGATATAGAGGACACTCGCAGAGGATAAATGACAGCACTAGATGCCCACATCTATTGTCCTTATTAGTCAAAGTTAGCCAACTCCTGAAAATCCCATTTTTGGGGTGGGTAAGGTCGAAACGCCTCTCAAAGGGTTTCACTCAGGTAAATCGGATTAAAACTATTTTAATCTCTTTTGTAGCTATTCAGGTTTAATTATGTTTGTTAGGCCGTTGGGATGCAAAACCAACAATTATTTTAGCATGCTAACGTAATCGACCATGGCATTTTGCATGTTCTATAAAGGGGAAAAGGCGTGTTACACTATCAGCGATTGGTTTTAGAGTAGCGGTAAGGGCAACGATCCACAAGTGGTATCAGATCCCAGGGTCATGGGTTCGACCCTCGGAAATAGTATTCTATTCAGTTGAGGGCTGGAAGGTGTTGGGGGGATCGTTGGGCCGCGGGGATGCGGTGCCAGCAATTCTGCGAGCATGATGGCGCCAGCAATTCTGCGAGCATGACGGTGCAATAAGCCCTGGCATTTTGCCTATTCTATAAAGGGGGAAGTCGTGCTACCCTATCAATGGTTGCTTTTAGTGTAGCGGTGAGCGCAACGATCCACAATGTTCAGAAATTCGGTGACCCCAGTTTACATTTATTACTGCTTTAATATTGAAAATATGGTGACTCCGATATTGTTAGTCACCGCAATGAGATCATCTTTTGGTATCATTCATGTCCCAAGTCAGGATAAAGGAGGAGAGTGGTGTGGTAGGCGCGTGATGGTCAACAATATCACTTAGTCACATCACATGAAATAATCGAAACTTAGTGAGATCATCTTTTGGTATCATTCATGTCCCATAAGCGACGCATCATCCATCCGCTTGGGGATGATGTCAAATATGCAAGGGCGTACCAAACCTCATAGGTTGGATGTGGTGATAAAAATGCTAAGGTTGCTAGATCTTTGCCCAGAAGCGACACACCACTCCAATGCTCGCGGGTGGTGTCAAATATGCAAGGGCATGATGGGGGTCAATGTGCTGTGAGGAAGAGAAGGCAAGGTGCGATATTTGTTTTGGGGTGTGGAATGTTCGATCTCTTACAAGAAGATCATCTGAGGTAGTCGTGGTTATGAGGAGGAGGAATATCAATATTATGTGTGTGCAAGAAACTAAGTGGGTTGGAGAAAAGTCACGTAAGATTAATCCCGAAGGTTTTAAGTTGTATTCGGTGTGAGAATAGACCAGAAATGGAGTAGGTATTATTGTGGTGCGAGATTATGTTGAGAGTTTGGTGGAAGTCTTTAGGAAGAACGGACGCATTATGAGCATTAAAGTGGTACTAGGAGATGAGATCTTGTCTGTGGTAAAATCGTGGGATCTAAGCAACATGTGTATCAAATCAAAAAATGTAGTGCATTTTCAATTTGAAGTTACATGCACGACTTAGGGATGCATGCATACCTGCAAAACAATGACACTTGATAGGGTGAAAACGCCAGTGAGTAGATAGACGGAACCTGTGATCTTATCAAGGTGACACGAGCTTGATGATGATGTGTGGGTGTGGGAGCTTCCTTGCATAAAGCTCATCAGTGCAGCACCCATAACACAAAATATTGTTCCCACAATTTTGGCTCTGCTATACTTGCTACTGAGCTTCACCTTCTCTAACCTGTAGCTCTCTGTTATATATCATTTGTATTTATTCATGTTGATTAAATAATTAAGCCATATCACATCGCCTCGATACATAAATAAGTAATACAAACTAAATAACATATAATATTATGTACTATATAATTATTGAAAAAATATACTAGTAGTAAATAGGAATAAAACTTGGAAATATTAAGAAAATAAGAGTGCAGTACTGTTTTAATTCACAAAATTAGAGTAACGTATGCATATATGGACCAAACTATCCTACCAAATACAATTTCAGTTTTAAAATAGAAAATTAAAAAAACTCAATGACCTGACGATCGCTCATGTGGACCGATTGAAAAATAAAACTATCTCGTTTCTGGTGATCACTGATAGCCTCATGTGAGAGTTGGCATCTTCTGGTGATTGTCGTTGCTGAACGTCGCCAGGCTCCGGCTATCGACGATGAAATTCGAAGAGTAATGTCATCTTCAAACACGAAAATCATCAAAATGACATAGTATTTTCATCTGCAATATAATGTCATGAGAAGATGAAGGAGGAGGGGGAGGAGGGAGAAGAGATACATGAAAAATAAAATTCCGTTGCACGTAGCCATCATGGGAGAGATGAATGTGAGATTAGAAGAAGCGGACAAGAAGGGTTGAGGGGGGAGAAGTTCAATTCCAATATCATAAGAGGGGGGAGGGATATTTTGATAGGAAGAGGAGGGAGGAAGAAGGGGATTCCGAAGAGGGAACAGTGGTAGAAAAGTAATTAGCACTCCTACTTTAGTAATTTAAAACATGAAGTCCTACTTTTAAACTTTTTTATACATTTTATTGCTATTTAGAGGACTTGAATTGGGAAATTATTATAAGTACGACTCTTAGGTTAACATATTCCAAATCTTGGACGAGCTAGTTTTTCATTCTTCTTTTTTTAGGACTAAAATGTGGAGTGACTTGTTTGACCTTCAAGCTTCGGGATCTTTCCATGGATATTTCCCTATGTTACTCAAGGGCATAATCATCAAGTAATTAGTGGAGGCGCATGCCCCGAGGTGGAGCCTTTACACATTCCTTTTTTTACACCCTCGTGGTAAGCATCTGCAATCGGGACACCATCTTCTCACCCTCTAGAAAATGACAACATCGGGACACCATCTTCTCGTGGTAAACACAAATGTCAATATACTAAAGGAATGCAAATTAAAGAACAGCCCCATAGCCAACCTAAGAGATATTCAAGGACGACCACCCCATCCTCACCTATGTATGGCCCATCAAGAAAGGGGAACAATCAGCGATAAACTTGGCAGCGTTGCTTGTTTCCCTCCGTCAGAATTGGGGTGGTCCACCTCCGGATAAACTCCTCTCATTTGATCACAAACGGCAAGCTACCCTTCACTAGCGAAACCCATACCCATTTGTACCTCTAGTTTTTGTGAAATCTGGATAGGATTTGAGTGCAAACAAGCGGAGGCCCGCCCGTTGAGAAATTGAAGAGTATCCCCAGGTTTCAGATGTGTAAGCCCTCATAGAGTGGAAAAAATGAAAAATGGATCTAGGGCGAGTCAAATGCGCATAGAAAGACATCACCCTATGAACCCGGTGATGAACATGTGGGTAGTGGGGGTGAGACTTTTACCCCACTGACTTTGGTGGTTTGCCAACCGGGTAAAAAAATAAGAATGAAAAAAAAGGATAATGGGAGTGAGTTGACCCGAGATGACCCTGTAATGGCCAAAATGTTCAAGAAAGCGTAATGCTAGGGGAAACGGATGCCCATCTCTAACCTTGAAATGCGAAGGAGAGCGAGGCTCCACTATATTCTCCAAGGGAGCAGGGCGAGAACAGACAATCTCCAGACCGGGCAAACGAGCCATCGTCTCGAATTCGGAGTTCGATAAAGCGACCGCAAGAACACCGCGGGCGAAGTCAGCCAATATGTAGAAATGGGTTTCTATACCATTGCAATCTACAGGGATCTGGGGCCAGCGGCAGCCTGATCCCTTGTCGTCGGGGTAGACAATGCAAAGAGGAATAAGTTTAGTAGAAGACATGAAACTGCGCTAAGAAAGCAAAGGGGAAGAAGGAGCGGCTTGCTGAAACTCTAGGCCATCTAGGGTTCACGAATGAAAGTACAAAGCTAAGCGTGAAGGAAACTTTGGCAGAAGGTTTGCTCGAAGAGAGAAGACTCTATTTATAGGGAATATTGGCACCGTATGAGTCACTGAGGAACCGAAATCGAGGCACTCGAGTGCTGAAATTGATAAGATAGATTTGGAAGTTATGCAAGTTAGGGGGCACATATTGAATCCGTACCCTCGAAGTTTGAGGTAAGCATTAAATGAATGTGGCGCTCCCTCTTTAGAAGAAATTCAAAAAAGGAATATTTGTTACTCTCTTAAATCAAGCCCGACTTATTTAAAAGAGTAAGGGGCTCATGATGGTACTATTGACTATCATCATAGCCTAATAATTGACTACGGCCCAATCCAGGGGAAGCCCGATACACAGGAGTGACAAATAACCCCATTTGAGCCTGAACAGAGGGATCGCAGCCCGTTTAGGATCTATCGTACCAAGGCCAGCATGAACAACATGTCTCGATAATAGTCGGGGTCTCTACGAAGTCGGACTCTCCCTATGACTTACATGGCAAGCCATCTATGAATGCATGGCTACCTGGAAGCGGAAGGAAATATACCTGAAGAGATGTGGGCATAAAGGAGGCATTGAATGCGAAAGTTACGACGAGATACGTTAGAAGAGTCCTCTCATGATTAAAATTATTTAATGTACCAGTTATATCTCCAACTGTTACTGTAGCATTACTCCTATAAATACTTCATGTAATTAACCTAAAAAGAGATCGATCTCTGGAATAATAATAATACTATCTTATGCTGCCAAAATATTTAGTTCTCACATACATTAAACTCTTCATAATTAGCTCTTGCAGTTGGAATTATTCTCCATCATTTGGTGCTTTCATTGAGAGATAGTTCACGATTCCTAAACAATACAGATGGTTGGATCACATAGCTGCAATTGTGTTGGCAGCAATCACTATGATGCTAGGGTCAATCAAGTTTTATCGAGAATGAGGGAACTCGTTCTCAACACAGTGATTTATGATGATGAAAATAAAAATGTTGACCGCGGTCGATGTAAGGAATCGTTTACATAGTGCTTGAAGTTCCAGGCACCCAACAACTCACCCGTCCCAGATGCGGACACCTACAGGGGCGCCTGTTCAGGGGGTGGACCCAGCTCAGGCACTACCCAACCTGTCCACCTTTCAGAGGGGTGTGGAAACCCTACTCATAGCCTTCCAGGGGATAATTCCTAATGTTACCCCAAGGAAACAATCCCCTCATTGTGTTCCCTCTACACCACCGTTATTAGAAAAAGAGGCTTCATCAGGACATCGTCAATGAAACTTGCCCCCACCAAGATCCCCACGGATCTTGACGCACACATCAAACTCTGAGGACCTCAGTAATGAACTGGCTAGGTGGTGGAAGGATTTTTGACCACGACAAGCTCTCTACGTGGGGTTGAGGAAAGAAGAGGAACATCGTCAGTAGCCCACGAACACAGAATAAGGCTGATATGGACGTAGATGATATGAGAAGAGGGTTGGACGACTTGAGGAGATTTGTAGATGGCAGGGTAGGTTATTCTCGGGACGTGAGGATTACAGAACCATTTGTGCGAAGGGTCATGGATGCTCCCTTACCGCGGGTATACAAGCCTTGTGACCCCGAGGTTTACGTGGGGGGGGGGGGGGCAACACCGTGTCTCCCGGTAGATGGCTTAATGGTGATGATGGGTTATGACGATTCAATAAGGTGTCGACGATTTCACATCACATTTAATGGGCTAGCCTGGGAGTGGTACAATTACTTACCCGATGGAAGAATACAAAACTTTCGAGAATTGGCCCAAGCATTTGTTGCACGGTTCAGTAGCTCGAAAGACTTCAAGAAGATCTTTTCCCATCTTCTAGGCATCAAACAAAGGCGTCAGGAGACCTTGACCACTTTCCGAACTCTTTGGAGGGACGAGTCATTCAAGGTCGAATGGCTTAGATGATAAGTCAGTTGCGGTGATTTTAACTAATGCCTCGAGGTCAGGAGAGTTGCACAAGGATTTTGTCCGGAAATCTCTGACCTCACATGAAGAAGCCCTACCGCATGCCGATAGGCAAGCTGAAGTTGAAGAAGCTAAAAGACGGAAGAGAGGGGGAAAAGATAGAAAGCCTCAGGCTGGCGAAGAAAAGAAAAAAATGAAAACAATCACAACGAGGTCCATGACTAGAACAATTCTAGTGGTAGCAAGAGAAAGAAAAAGGTTTGGGCAAGAACATATTTGAAGCCCTTGATGGTCCATTGTCTAGTCAATCAAAGTTCTCCCCATTAACACACTCGTAAGCACAATATTATACTCCCTCCATCCCCCAATGAAGTTACCATTTTGCTTTTTGAACAATCCCTAAATTAAGTTCACACTTCCTTACTTTCCTTATTTGGCAAATTATCTACATCAAAACAGTGTCAAATAGTGAAAAACAATGTCAAACAGTGTCCAAACAGTGTTTGAACAATGCAAAACAGTGCACTCCACAGTAAAGTCAAATTTATTTTCTTAATATGTGTGAAGTCAAACCGAGAACTTAATTGGGGGACGGAGGGAGTACTATGCTACCATGCAGGGTTTCATAACACTGCGGGATTCTTGCAACGTGATCACATCCCATGTGGTTCGAGGAAAATATTGTAAGCCGCAAAAAGTGATATCCATAAGACAGATGAGTGCAACATGCTAAAAAAAGTACGATGAGAGGCTCATTCGAGCAGGGTAGTTAGACCACTATTTAAAAAAGAACCATCAGGATGTTCCCCCCCAAAAGAAGAAAGTGCGGACTAAAGGCAAGGACGAGCAAGCCTCAACTTCCAAGAAACATGAGGTCGGATCCCATTTCGAGGATGAGGATTTTGACTGGCAAAAGCGACCCCAC